TTGGTGTTTCGCTACGACCAAAGTACTCCTTATTAAATATAAAAAGTAAAATCATGCTAGTATTTAACAGTAAAAAACTCACCAAGCCGCAGTGTCAACTGAAGAAGTGCTGTGCTTCACAATGTGCTCTCCTTCTACTGGTCGATCTAAACACGGAAATTGGATAGTGAAAATAAGTAATGAAAACAGGTATTACTCTACTTATACTGCCTGTTAGTGGATTACCAGAAAATAGATATTTGACAAACGTAGTATAGGTTGTTTTATCTAAATAGAATACGTGAATGATTCATTGTGGGAGCGATTAAAGGCTCTTTGTCATCAGTATCGGACTAATTAATGGTCTCGTGCCGCACAAACTTAGATACCAATCTAACGCTCGCTGTGTCTTGGCGCGGACCTTTTATATCCCTCACTGTAAGCAATTAGACAAACTAATTTGTGACGATAAAGATTTGGATTTGGAGTTCAGATTAAAGTATGTAAAAATAAAGTTATTCTTTAACACACCAGGGGTTTACCTATATTAATAATGTGGCCATTTAATTCATTGAAATTTTAACAAAGTTTAGTTTCTACACCATATAACTACTTTTATTCTTGATTGTACATAGATTTTAAATTAGCATGCTTTTTAAAATTACAATTACTAACCTAATTCGACTGCGGCGCGCACTCGCTGTAACGCCATGGTCTTTGTCACAGCCAGCCAACGGTCGATCAATGGTTCGAACCAACTATTAAACAAAAGTATTCAAATAAATTAACTTTTAATAAAATAAATGTGTTTTAATTATGTAAAAGATTAAAACAAATTTATAATCTGTACAAAGCTAAATATAATTACAAATAGGCTTCGAGCAGTTGCGGTGGAGGGTCGGCGGCGGGATGCGGGGCAGGCGCGGGCGCGGCGGCGGCGCACAGCTCGCGTACTGCTGCTAGCACTTCGAACGGTAGCGTCTTCGCTGACACCACGCACACTGGCACACCAAACATTAAGTTACAATCATGTATTCGTATGTGACATACATGTTAAAGTACGCATGAAGTATACATTGATATATCTACACGTTCTATTATCCACTTCTGTAACAATCAATGCCGAAGAACAACAGTCTAAAGAGTCTTTGAACTTTTCACGGTACTTAATTCTTTCAATTTTCATTTCTTTTAAGACATTCTACACTATAAACTATCCAACCCAAGTTATCTGTAGAAGTGTTGGCAAAGTCAACGATGATAAGAGTAACGAAGTTTGAGAAAGAATAGTTATAGCTACCTCCATTTCCATGTTCATCGTATAATTCCTCTTCAGACACGCCGCACCAGCCCTCTGTTATCCAATGCTCTACGCACAGTCTAACATCTTCTGCCACCTTCATAAAATTGTCATTTGTTTTTAAAATTGTATTAAAAAAGAAGTCATCGCGTAGATAGCAGCAATAATGTTTTAAAGAACTTTAGATGCACTTTACGGTATTAAAACTGGCAGAGTACTTACAAAGATTATACTAAACTTATAAAGGATCATCATTCTTCGTGAAATACTTAACAAAACTTATGTTTATTGAGGAAACTTACCATTTTATCGATCTGCGTAAACACTACAGTGAAATACGGGACGTTATTGGTTCTGTAACAAATAGAAATTCTTTTATGTTCAGTCACGTAGACTGACATACAACAAACAATAGAGTTTTAGTTGACGCTGTTAAGGGGACGAGAAAGCTTTAAATTCAATCAACATGATCTTTCCACTATGTTTAGGTGGAAAATTATGCTTTTCAGTACGTATATCAAGATATCTTACTAATCATAAAACTTTGTGAGAAAATTTTTTAAACAAATTTTCTGTAACAATATTTAATCGCGTGAATACTCCATGAAATAAATTTTATGTTATTGAAAATAAAATAAATATCATCAATTACACATTACACACAATAGTAAAACAGAATACGAAAATACCAATATTTAATAAGACTTACGTTTCAAACAACGGATGGTAGTACGTCAATCCTTGTTGCAAGTCTATCTGCACCAAGGTGATCAAGTTGACCAGATCCTCGCCTCGCTCAGACCTCGTATCTTGAGCGCAAAGAGCTTCGTACCACTCTGCCGTACCCTTACGAAGAGCGCCCACTATTTCACTTCTAAGATAAAAAGAAATAACAAATGAACATCTTGTGTTTGGTTCAGAAAAATGAAGTAAAGCCCATTGTGTGGAGTTTAGTAGACTAGAGTATTTAGACTGACGACTTATTAAGGGGAAGAAAGTGGTATGCGTAAACGAACACAGATGCTCATTTAAATGAATGTAGAAGGAGAGACATTTATCAAGACTGTCCCAAATGTAAATTCTTGCCTCGAGTAACAAATGTCAGTAATTCGCTTTTTATTTTCACGATAACTGGTTTAATTAAATAAATACTGTTCCACCGTGCTGTTAAATACACAGATGTATTTTTGCGCTATTTAAATACATTGCTTTACTAAATTGTTAATTGCTTTTCAGATTTTCAGTGATTTTTAATTACGTTATCAAAATATAGGTTTAAACATCAGTCTGAGTGTATACTTATCATTGAATAAACCACTGAAATGTTAACTAATGTTCGAATATTAGACATCCCATTAAATTAAATTGGGACATATATATAAGATTCGCTTAAAAAACCTTTACCTTATCTCCTTGTTGAAAGGACAGCAACGCCAGAACGCTTTCATTTGCGACAGTTGATTAAGGCATCGCAACAGATATTCCAATCTATAAAACAAATGTAGTAAATGAAATGC